ATGCATCTTGAAGTTGGGATCGTGGGTGCGCACTACTGAGGTGTCCCATACTGGGACGAAACGGCCGTCCAGTGCTTCTAGATTTTCCATGGTGGTCTAGCTTCAATTGACTCTTGATTTCAACTATTGAAATTACTAAAATCTTCACAAACTCTTTCTGATTATTTGAGTTAATTTAATATTGGTTACCTGGAATTGTACATCTTATTAACTTCACCTCAGTGCAAAACTAAACAAAATTTTATCATACACGTTAGTTACTATGAGCTAAATAAAATTATACTGTAAAACCTGTAGTATCGATCCAATTGTTTTTCTATTATCTGAAAAGGAAAAAAGAGGTTGATTATAATTAATTATGGATTGTATTAAGTAGGTAAACTGTAAAAATCAATGGAACACGGAATAATTGTTTTTAACTTTCTTCTAGCCTCTTTAGAAGTACATACAAATAAACTCAAGATGAAAGTGGATTGGAACGATGGTCTTTTCTTATCGTAAATTTATCGTTGTTAGGAGTATGAATTTTTAATTCTAGGTAGTGGATTACTGGAGAATACTAGTATTGGATGTACAATCATAAAACTGCATTATGTTGTCTTTTTGTACCTAAAAATCTTGAATCCTTTTCGTACTCTTTACGAATTGATTTAGAAGGATTATTTTGCATGCCTCAGGCATTTTAAATAGTATTAATTATGAGAGGAAACTATATTTACTTACCAGCCATTGGTGGGATATATGCTTTAATATTTGCAAAAAATGACTGGTTTTTATCTAGTAAACTATTAGAGAAACAAGTGTTTCTTCCTGGTAAGGTATTTCTCAGGAGTACACACCCATGATTACTTCAGAGATAATACTTAGAACCTACAGGTTTCGCACCGAGCATATTATCTTTATATCACTGAGTAATCTCTATAATCCTTCAGCTTTATTACAAAAACATTATTTAATTAAAACAATGAATCACTATGGATACTGGGGTCTATTTAATGTCCATTTATTTTACTGAACAACAAATTAACACTAATCCGCCTTATCTGACAGAATATACCGAGATAAGAATTAGAACTTGAAAAATGGTCTAGACAAGAAGACTCAATAATCCATAAGAATACTATCTATTTACTTATAAGGTACATGTATATGTCATCGTACTGTTCATGGCATACTAACTAATAGTTGTTTTATTTTGTGGGCCTTTATGGTGTAGTTGAATAACTGGAAAATTATCCATCGACGAAGAGTGTTAACGTTGTTAATCTTCTTCAATATTTACAAATTTTTGAAATGATTTACAGTAAGGTTATCAAACACACAGAAATTTATTCAATATAAGTATTCTTATATGACAAATAATTAACAATAAGGTTATCTTAAAAATCAATGACTCCATAAATTTCTTTCGACCAACTAGCATTCATGGAATATTCATAAATAGAATGGAAAAATATAGGGGAATAAATTTATTTCCCATCGGAGCATAAATTCTAAAGCAGTGTTACCATTTTAAAGATTTTAAATGAACATGTCGAATTTAAATATTTGGTTATTACTCATTAACCAAGTTTGGGTTCATGTAATCAGCTACGAGTTATATGCTCTATATGATAGTTATTGATACTTTCTGGCCATTAAAACCATAGTAGATAGAACGATTTCCGAACGTGCTATCTGAATTTAGATAGTAATCCATTGACCAAGAAACCATCACTCTTTGTAAATGACTTTCGTTTCATTTGAAAATCTTGTTACCACCAGCAAAAGTTATTCGACATCAAACTATTGAAGTACGATTTCTAGTTTAATAAAATATCTCACAAACTTAAAAAAAGTAATTTCTAATTTACTTATTTTAGCAATGCTTATATATGACAGCATTAAGCGTACATCACCAGTTTCTTCAGTGTCTTGAAAGGCAATCACTAAGGCTAAGCTTCACAATAGTTACCACTCGTTACCAAGACACATTTGCAAACTTGGAAGAACTGAAGTTACCTGTGGGATTTTATCCTTTGTCATACAGTATCATATTCAGTGACAATAATCGTGTTCTATTCAGATAACGACTGATTTCCTGTAATATTAGAATCCTTGCACTAATGGACTATTTGGTAGTAAGAGGTCTTACATTTTCTAGTCATTAGTCTTGATAGAATTTTATCAAATAAACTACATGTCTTTGTTCAAGTCAATAATAAATATTCTAAATTTTTATTTTACCATAACAACTAAATACGTTTTACACTGGCCACTAAGTTCCTTTTATGTAAAACCTTGCATTAACTAATGTTTCGATTAACTATGATATCAGTACTGAGCTGTTCATTTTTAGATAACACCTAACCACAGAGCTTTCTACCCTAAAGGTAAATAGATTTTCCACTAGTGATTGTTGAAAAATCCTAAAATAAATCATACCGTCCTATGCATAAGGAATTCCACTAAATCCGTTAGGTATTGAACTAATCTGTTACAGCCCTAACATTATGTTGACTTTATTAAGAACAGACTTTTAAATATGAATTACTGGATTACTTTACGTGCAAATTTAGCTTGCATAGTGAGTAAGGAAATGGATATATCAGATTAATTATGAAGAATGTACTTAAAAATAAGATGATCATTATTTAACATGGAAAAGTTATAAGTTGTACAGCGAACAAAGGCAGTGTTGTACAAATTTCTAGACTTTGACAGAAAGATATAAGCACAAAAAATAAGGCTGTAAAATAAAAATTATTCCAACTGCATTTTGAATTAGTAGTTTGAAGGTAGCAATTTCAAATAACACAAAATATTCCACCCTATAAATATTGTTTGGAAGCTTTAAGTGGAACATGACCCAAAACTGTAACCTAATGGTTGAAGACTTATTCCTTTATATCTTATTAACTTATCCAGATTATTTACAACATTATTCTAAGCAATTATTTGCTTATCTATCTTATTATTACCTTTGGGCGAAAATAGCTCTTATGTCCACTAAAATGTTGATGAGTTTAAAACATCTGGTAGTATAAAAGAAAGGTAAATATCTTATTCAGATATTTCCACTTGGATATATTTCAAACCAGGTGACTTAAATTACAGATGATTTAACACATGACCAGTAGACGGATACGTAATTCGATGTGGTATTGATAGTGAAGTAGAAATAACCGATATCACTTCCATATGTTCAGTTAAAACAGACAGAGAGTCGGTTGATATCGGAGTAGTTAAATGAATTTGTGTAGTGAATCACTAAAACTTACACTACATCGATAATACGTTTCAACTAGGGTGGATGATTATTTAGTGGAATGAACTAAGTTTGTAAAAATATGAACTTTACATGTATGAATCCCAAAATTTTATAACATATTTGAGGTATCTAATCATCCAAACTTTTACACATTATACATTATAATGAGTATGTGCCTATTAAAAAGATCAAGCTTGAATGGTAAAAATCTGTTTTCCATCAAATAGTCAAAGTATTACAATTTTCTAGTCCAGATGATAGTAAAGAATTGTTTTGACTACTAATTTTCACCTCCGCGACAAAAGTAAATTTCACAAAGCGTAAATAGATCCAATTTATTTCGTATTCTCCCGAAATGACAGATTACCACTTGATTATCTATATGATTCTTCTGATTATTACCAAAACTACGACGGTTCGTTTATTGAAGATATCAGCATGTATATATGAACTTAGTATGATCTGAAGTCATGAAAATAAATTAGCAGGAAGTTCCACAGACTGTGTTTTGTGCCGTTTAAAACTTTTTACCAAAGGCATATCTGTAATATTCACAAAAAATGATACGCCCTGTTGAGTTTAGATACTCTTTATCCGGTATCGCAGTCCTATAGAAGGTCGGCTGAGGCCCGAATGGCCTAGCGGTACCTGTTCTGACCGCGATACTGGATGATGTAGGTTTGAATCTCACGAGTAGCATAAATTTCCTCTAAATTTCAGATACGGCTTCAGAAGAAATGCCAACTAGCGCAAAATCTACATTTAGAGCTTTCCGTCAACTTCATTCAACCATCTAACAAACATGGAACAGTGCGTCAATCTGTGTTTTTGTCCTAAACATAGCTAGTAGACTACTGAACCATATATTAACGGAATATCAAACACTTTTGCCAATAAAAAACATTCATAAATATGTCCTTAACTGGGAAGTGAGAAATTTTTTCATCACGAAAACTGCCCGGTAAAATGCAATTTGAAATATACATACCGTTTAGTGCATCAGTCTATTGCATATACAAGAATCCTAAATATCACTATATTGAAGTTAATTTATTTACAATCCCAAATGATTCAGTCTTACCGAATAACATATGGTTGTTTAAATTATAATTCCGAACTACCTATTGAAAATATTATGAAATAGACTGACAAGAGCTTTGTCACCATTTGACCAACATATTTTGACTACATTCAGTTAACTGAACGATTAATGAATAAATATTTATTTATAGATTAATACTAACCATAAATGAGTTTTACAATTATATATTTTTTAGAAATTTAACTGAATATGATTATTTTCTATTAAATATATGAATGTAACGCAACAAATACAATAATACACCAGTTCACCGGGAATTTCGGAATTCTAGGAATTTTACTAAATTGCAACTTGACTATCTTGAGCGGATGACTATCAGCGTCATAGTAAAACAGAAATGGGACATTTAATCAACTGAACGAAATTAGTATCGTACGATTCTTTCTACAAGACAACAGTTCGAACAAATAAATTCACATGTTATTCATATTTAATAGAGTTCTATAGTTTATTTACCACTTGAAGGAATCAAATAGTATTACACGGTGATTCAAAACAAAGTTGAGTGATCGAGATTTTGACCTATGAATTACTGATTCGTGATATTATCTTTAGTAATCCGTAATCCCATTTTTATGTTTGTTCCACTTATATTCGTGTTGAATTCCTTTTAAAAATATACCATCTTTATTCGATTGCTTTTCATAGGTACAAGGGAATCCGCTTATGTTTTGGCTGTCACATCAGCTGGTGTGTCACATGCAGTCACTAAAGCATGTAGTAGTGGTTTACATGATAACTGTGGATGTGACAGGACAATATATGATCATCCTAGAGAGCCGAATTTTGAATGGTCCGGCTGTTCAGACAATATATATTTCGGAGCAGAATTTTCAAGACAATTTCTTGACGTGCGTGAACGCAACAGGTTGAAGCGTAATCCGAAATTAGGTCTAACCAATTTACATAATAACTATGTAGGAAGACATGTAAGTTTATATTTATAATTATCGTATACAGTTCAAAATATTTAGTGTTCACCTGACAATTAACAGTTTTCATTCCCAGTCAACATAAACGACTATATTCGATCGAATAAGCAAGGTATTCTGGCCAATAAATTAAACAATGTAGAACCATAATCTACTTTACTTAGCTTTGATAATGCATTCAAAATTTAGATATCTTATCGATTTTTTAAGGTCGCACGATTAATAACTTCATTTCAGTAATAAACGGCTCGAGAAACTATCAATTTTAATGCAACTATGGTAAACATATCCACATTAAGAACTATATAGAAACGTTTTTCACGTAGATCTTCCTTAATTGTCTACATAAAAGTCAGATATCGGATTCTGATGATAGTAATTCACACTGTTGGTAAAAAGGAATTATTTAACCTACCTACATACCAGGATAATTAAAGTTATCTTATACGATGTACGTTATTTTCGTGTTTATTCCAATCTATTAGAAACAGGTGGACTAAATTTGATCTATGAATTATTATCTGTCTTACTGTTATTAGGGATATCGAGTAAAATTTGGAAGGTATTTATTGTCCTCTCTCTGTAAGTCAAACATGTTTATGTCAACATTCAATTGATAATAACATTCTTTGTGTTAAAACTTCAAAGCGATTAGTCACAAATCTAATTTCATAGTAAAAAATTTAATAGTAAACATATATAAAAATCATCTTCAAATCAAAATTGTATTAGCGATTTTGAGCATAATAATAAACAGAATATCTAGAATCAATTTGAAGTTTGTATATTTGACATAAATCTTCATACTTCCAATATATTAGAGTTCACAGTTCTGGTAATTAGTGAACTACTAATAATAAATATCTGAGGCATAGTGTATCAAATTCAAGAGACATCCCTTTTGAAAACAAAGGAAAGAAATATACCTTTCTTCAGCTCTAACTGCTAACAATGTTTAAATATTCAATTATAGTATTTTCAACCCACTGGTTCTGACCAGCCAGAATATGTACGAAAGAAACTTAAAGGAAACGACAATATACATCGATTCACAAAGAAATATGTGAACTTAATTTAATGCGATAAATTTTCATAAGGGTTTCTAAATAATTGTATGACGTGAGGATAATATTAATAAAGTTTCTACTATGGATTTTCTTTCTGGAGATTCGAAGATATTTATCTTTGGAGTGTCAACTGTTATTTCACATTCAAGTACAGATTTGTATAAAATACATTACTATCGAGACGATGACTTTTGTAATTTATTTCTCATATTTACATTTGCTAATTTCCTCAAATAAATCACACGAGTTCTATATATCGTCCATCATTATGATGTGAATGTGGGTTCCGTCAACCAGACCCAATTAATGTGCATACTGCAACTTATTATCAAAATGTCTGTTACTTAGGTAGTTGTGTAGCTAAAATGGTTTCATAATAAATCATATCTAGTTAATTTCTATCTTTCATAAATACCAAATTAACCTAGATAGTTGTATAGATACTTTACTGAATTCTCATCACGGACTGACGATATTTGGATTACCATTAAACCCCAAGGAAAACTGAAGATTGTTTTTGAGACTCATCAGCAAGTTCTGAACTCGATTCCTTGAGAAGTTATGAGTACATAATTCTAAGAAGTCTTATGATGCTATGAAAGAGTTGTTATGTGCTTTTTAGCACCCTTCTTTTCTCAGAAAATTTACCTACATGATTATCCATTTCATCTTGCCAAGTTTCTCACTTCTAGTTTATTATTATTTACTTACACGACTAAATTATGAACTCCCCTGTTGATGAAAGATGTGTAAACCGTATTACTGGCATTAAATAAGGAGAAAAAAGTAACAGGTTGATTACTTCTAATTCTAATACATTACGAAGATTTTGTTCACCTTTTCTATATGCTATGACATTTCATGAAGTGTTTGATTTTCTTATCATGATAACTGTCTACGCATACCGGACTATTATCACCACTATTACATGTAATAATGTTCATGCCACTACTAATATAGTTACATGTTTTACGTTATTATTAATAGTGATGGTAACATTATTTCACTTGACTATAATATTAGTTAACATCCTATTCCCCTTGAAATTATTACAAGCATCAAGCTGATTATTTTACACTAGTTTCTTTATCTTTGAAACTGTTTTACTCTCTTAATCTACTCCTATATATTTTTATTTTTGCTTCCTTCATTTCCTTTATTTTGTTTCTTTCTTCATAGACTTGATATTAATTTTTCTTAACCTATAGACAATTTATTCTTTGGAAAAGAACTCTTTTAGAAATTCAATTTCTCTCTCTTACTTTCATGAAATGTTCATCAACCTTTCTCTTCTCCTATTTTCTTATGTTGTCTGCTAAATCTTACATCTTAACTAAGTAACTTAACTATCATTAACGATCAAATAAATCATGTTACTTTTAACGCTATATATATATATATATATATATATATATATATATTACTTAGATGTGTATACACTCAGTTGACTATTACTAGAAATTGGTTCTAATGTTCATACTAGTAATAATCATAGTAATATTATATATGATAACATAATTGTTTGTTTGTTTTTAATATCTTCAACTAAGATCAATGGGAATAAAATGAGTAAACTAGGTGATTTGATTAATGATCATTGAAATTGAACATATACAATAAATAACCTAATGTATATTATAAATAATGTACAGGGGTGGGCTAGAGTAATATGTATGGGTAACTGACAAAGATTATACCAAGTCTAAAAGTTAAGTGATAGTGTAGCGATGTATATTTAGAAGGGGATGATCATCATGATGGTTACATTAGAAAATGATGATAAATGTGGGAAATTATTTTTAATCTAGGGGTTAACTAATCATATCAATACATTTAATATAACCATATGCGCACAATACATATCTAAATTCTATTTGCATACACAATCTATGGTTGTTTTGGTAATCATCTGTGATTCGAAATAAATATTTTTTACAAATGTAATAAAAAAATTACGCCAGATTCAAGGTATTTTTTGACACTTGTTTGTGAATTTTTACCATAATAGGCGTCAAAAGTGTTCTTTCTCGTTAATTTCTTTTTCCACTATTTATCCTCTCATAATCAAATTCGTTTAATGAAATGTGAATGTATATTGCCTTGTTCCTTTATAACACAATTGAACACTCACTATTCTGCCTTACACACAGACAAATACGTAAAATTATATGAAAATTAAACACCACCTAGGAAATTTTCAACATGAATGCTATTGAACTGACTTGCTAATAATTAGATGGATGCTTACTTGGAATAAATTTTACTGCCTGACATTTTGACTTCGATGTATTGTATAAAATACGTTAAATAGATACAATTTATGAAATAGCGTATTTATGCTATTTTTCTTGAGGGGAGGGGATATCATATAATAATTTTTATGGGGATTACATAAACCATTTGGATACAAGTAATATTTCACTTATCATCTGGACTGATTAATAGCTTAATGGATAGTTGTTTATAGCTCACCGATAAATGGTAGGGGAGAACATACTTTCGTTTTTATTTAACAACAGAGATTACGTACCTATCGTGCACGCAATAAGATGATAGAAAAGTCAATTATTTTCATCAAAATTAGGCTATAAACAAAGTTTCAAAAACACCCCCCAAAACTACTCTATATTATTATAATAAATAGTTAATGAAGTAATTAAAGATCTCAAGACAAATAGGCCAATTATAATGGGCAATAATGATAGTTAACAAATAAAATATTTAATTTCATTGAATTATCCTGTGCAAGAATATAAGGTCAGTGTTTCAATAAGTATTGTAATTAAAGCTAAAGGTTTAGTACAACGAGAAAGAAAACATTACGTAAAAATTGTCTAGTACACAATATAGGTTTTTTATTATAATACATTCTTAACTAATATCAATTCATGACGAAATCAATTTTCAAACTAAACCAATCTCATGGAATCATCATATTTTATTATATTGCACTTTTCAATATAGATGGAGAATGGTGAGAAAAACGAGTAAATTCATAAAACTATCTTTATGTTAATGATAATAGTTGGTAAACGTAAATTACTTAAGCAGCAGTAGAAGGTCAAAGACTGAGCTGATAATATTCTGTAAAAACTGAGAGAAAAGAAGTAAAGTATTCAACACTAATGAATAATAGCTTATTTCAAATTCTTCATTGATAATAATAAAAAAAATTGAAATTGTTATGAAAAGATTAAAAGCGAGTTCATGTTTCCGTCCAGTAAAATATTTTATCTTTAATTCAATGTAATATTTATATATGGTATTCATTTAGTATCACAATTTTTGTATCGATTCGGTATCCTATTCACTCAGTGTAGTACTCACCATTCGTTGTATGGATTCCGTTGTGATATTTACTTGGTATAATATTTGGTTGCATAATTCTAATGTAAAATCAAGTCGTATTTCTATTACTTCACTTATGTACAATATTCGATGACCAGTGATCGAATCCCGGGGAAATTTGTACGTATATGAGTGTATTCAGTTAATAAATTGTTGTCATAATTTTGGATGCAAAGGAAGCCTTCAACTGACATCAGTTTTTATCCTCTCTCATGTGTCTTACAACTGTCAGTTCCCATCCTGTTCAAAGTCCTATTTTGCACATTTTTAAGAAAAATACTTGGTCATCCAGTTATTCTCTAGACCTTATCAATTTTAAACAACTATGTAGAATACGATATGTGAACAGTTAAAGGCGATAAATGTATCATTACTTCAGTCGATTAACATTAATTTTTCTCAAGTGTAATTTCGTTTACAATATTTTTCTTTTATTAATGTTTAATTAGATGGTTATCAATAAAATGGAAGTCCAGTGTAAGTGTCATGGTGTAAGTGGATCATGTGAGATGCGTACATGCTGGAGATCGCTACCGAAATTTCGACATTTAGGTGCACAACTACAAGAAAGATTTCATGAAGCTATACAGGTCACTTATATGCAAAACCGTTTGGTTTCAATGAAAGCTTTAGAACAGTTAAATAAAGAATCAAATGGAAATGCACTTTTACTTTCGCACCCCGCTTTATTATCATCATCAGTATCTGGAGCATCATCATCTCCTGGAGCAGCAATGTCATTACGAGTTAATCGAAATACCTTAGATTCGTTAACTAGTTCAACATCAATATCTTCATCATCTTTACCATCACCAACAGAAAATGATTTAATATATATAAGCGAATCACCAACATTTTGTCATCATGACCCGCGGTACGGCAGTATCGGTACATATGGACGTCAATGTGACGAAAATTCCCAAGGTTTAAATAGTTGTCATTATTTATGCTGTGGTCGAGGATTCAAACGACAAACATTTGTTCAACAGGAAAGATGTGATTGTAAATTTCAGTGGTGTTGTAAAGTTGTCTGTAAGACATGCCGTAAAACAGTGGTCATATCCACATGTAATTAGTAACTATGCATATGCATATATAAATGCATCATTTTACGGTTTAAAATCATTTTATGGGTTTGTTTTCACTTTCGTACACTAAATTCCCTACCTCTATGATTCTCTTCACATCTATTCCAAAAATGCTTTTCTCCGATTCTTGTATTACAAAAATGTCTGCATTGTAATTGAGACTATTACTAACAGTGACAAAATGGCAATGACAATCATCGTGATACTACTAAAATGCTTAAACCCAACAGATTACAATCAATTGTGACGTGTTGAAAATAAATTAAAAACTCATCAAGTTGTTGGTATTTTACTCTATGAAAGAAATTAGAAGACTATCATGAATAATCAGAAACAAATCTTCTTTAATGAGTTTAGTGTAAGTAGTACAGAAAACTGAAAAGACCAAGTAAATAAATGAATATACATAATTTACTGTTTTTCTCAATTCATTCTTTTCTTGTTCTTCGTTTTTGTTGTAAATGTTTATTTTCTTAATATACTAACTATAACATGTGTATATTCTATTTATAGTCACTCATTCACCAAATCAATCAGTTAATCACAACTCATTATTCATAATCTTTATATAGTAAAACAAAGCATAAAATGAACACCATGAACGATCATTATACAAACTCATCTGTTGTATTTTAATATACTAATATATATTCATTTTGATCTGTCCACTATACACACATGTAAACACTCAGCTATTTATGAGTGAAAAATACACAGTGAAAGGTTAAGTTTTAAAGTTGGTCTTTGTCTAAACACTTCCTTGTGGTTAATTGTTATTCTGGACAACATGAAAGTGTCCAACGTAGTGAGAAAGTACTGATTTTCAGAACTATCAACACTTTTAAAATTACTACTTATGAGTAGCCCAAGTAATAATTCTAAATCATTTTAATGATGAAAGTTGTATAATCGTTGAATAAGGTACCTGAGGAAAATTTAGTCTCAATTCCTGACTGATATCGTTTGCATAAGCATGAAAATACTGGGATCAGATATTGACGCATCTCATCATTGTTAATATTCTGGTACAGATGCTAGTTGTCCGAGGGAAACACCTTACTGCTGTCACACCTCTGTACAGTCAGCAATACGACTGCGCCCTCAGACCTTGAGTTGCTGATTTTAGTCTTACCGTTCTCCAATAGACTTGCCTGGCATGGTAGAACCTGCAGGAACATATGTTCCAGCCAAAATAGCTCAGTTGGGTCATCACGATAGGCAAGCCCGATCACCACGTCAAGGTAGCAGCCACGTTGCTTACAACAGAACGACCTAGAATCCTACGGTTTTGATAAGTGCGAAGTATTGTCTAAACTGTGTCAAAGTGGAAGGTTCATGATGCTGATTTTGGAGTGTTATTCCCAAAACCTAAATGAATAGTGTCTACTACATATGTAGGAATATCAAGAACATAGGAAACTCGTTTAGAGAAAATATAAGAAGACGAATAATATGCAGGAGGTATTATGATGAGTTTGAGAGTAAAGTCGAATGTTAACCATTTTGCTCTTAAGTAAACGACCACCCTTTATGGAACATCTGCAGAAAAGTCCTACTTCAGTTTATCGATCCGATTTGAGAAACTGACCACCTTTGTACAACATACAGTTTATGTAAACCAAGAGTGCCATCCTCGCCAAATAGTTTTAACTCTTCTTTTAACCAATAATTTTACTAGGCAACAATCGCGTCTTCAAAACGTAACTTGTTACTTCTCTGGCTTTTATAAATGAAATAAAAATGCAACTCGGTTACAAAGTAACTTTGAGCTGTATCATTTGTGTGACATGATCCAAATCCTCAATCTTTTAGAAATTACCATGTCAGTCTCGATAATGACTTTAACATATGAACTGGTTACAAGTTTCGTCTATGAATATAAAGCGAAGAATAGAGCACTGACCACACGAAATATTCTGAAGTCAAGGTTTATATATATAATCTTGATCTTAAGTCTAAAAATGAATATAAAGTCAATTTTCAAACACCCGCTTCACTAAGATCAGGTGCTGTCGATAAACTGTAATGTTTTACTTTCTAAGAAATTTTCTGCTAAAGTTCATATTTACTGTTGAACTTATATCAGTTTAGTGTGATGATATAATTCATTTGTGTACTGATTGTAACTGCAAAAAGTAGAATCATACCTATATTCTTGCAATTAGATACACAAAATATAATAACAAATTATTCAAATGTACTTCTATTTAAAATAACTGATTTACAAATAAAAACTAACATTTAAAATACAAAGACCAAAAGACAGAATAATATATTACTGTTCAATGATGATTTCGTAAATTAATAATATTTCCAAAATCTGGAGAAAAATAAGAACTAAATGAATATGGATAACATGTAATATAATTTATGGTCCCCAAAATATTGGATTGATAACAATTAGATAACTATAAGTATAATGTCTAGATTTTATCAAAAAACTAACGTAAATTCACAACATATTTTTAAAAGAAATTAATGCAAAAGAGTAAGTTTTTTTAGAGTTTATCCTTTTTTTGTCGACTTCCTTTAAAACAATTTTCCATTCTAAATGGTCTTTTGAAATATAGTAAATTCAAACAATTCACATACATATTGAAGTATTTTTATTGACAAAATAAGAGTAGACAAGCTACAAACAAATAAATACAAATCTTACAAAATAGATAAATAGGTAACATGGAATAAAAACAGTTCGAATGGAAATAATCATTCTCGATATTGCTCAATTATACATATAACTTCTCAACCAGGGAAGATTCAATTTTGTTGGTTAAACTAGAAAAAAAACGAGAAAATAAAGTATTAGTTATGTGTCTATATAATTAGTTTAGTTATATAACGAGCATCGGGTTAGATGTGTATCAATTATTAGACTAATGAAAGATAGTGAAGTAGTTGACACGGTCAACTATTTCACCCATGTTGAAAGTCTAACCAGCATTGGTGTCTAATAAAACCTCCACAGGAATGCAGAAAACTCAAGTGACTATAGTAAACACACGATACTTGTGGTATACATAAGATTTTTGTCTGCCAACCAAAGAAAGAGTATACTGCTTTATAATTTGCTGTTCTACATTATGGATATCAAACGTGAACTTTTAAAACAGAGGATATTCGTTTGTTACTAGTACCTAATCACAGGTGCTTTCAAACATTACTAGAGCACCCTGGGACTATCTGGTGAGCAACGTTGAGATTAAGCATAAGGTACTGAGAAAACATGTCAAATCGGATGGTAAGGTAGTTAGTCTTCATAAGCTTAGATGGTTGGGACATGTATTACATATACCCAACCACAACCAAACTCGACAAGCAATATTTGTCGGTGTAAGGGCAAGTTGGAAGGTATATAGGAGTGGCTAAACCAAAAAGTGGCATTAGACCATGAAGTCATTGACTACTGAACTGAGTTGTGTAGGTAATTGGAGACTAGCTGGTCCGGATCTGTACCACTACTGTGAGCATTTTTAATATCTTATACATTTCTATTTCAGGGATCCGTTTTTGCTCGAATCGTCTAATCTTTTCTACTATCACTAATACTGTTGATGTTCCCAGTAACTTGGGATTGACCTATGTTGATGTAGTGTGACAACCTAAACCAACGTACGTGTGCTAGAATATACGTTGGGCATAACCGACTGGTACAATATCAAAAAGATAATTATTTACCCCAAAATATTACAATTACCAATCTCATTAATTATAACTCCCCTTTTCATAAAATAACAATTTTTCCATTTATATATTATTAACTAAAGCATGTTAAAAGTTTATTTGTAACTAAAATTTAAGCCGTCTACAACTGATGAGAAGATACGCCTTGTAATTTATTGTGCTTATTCCGTATTGAAGTATCTACAGAATAAGATGAACGAAATATATCATCGTTTTATTCACAAAATGTTGTTTAAAGAAAAGACAAACTCAGATATTACAATCTATAGCTAATTTTCAAAATAAAATCAACACAATCTAACAAAGAAATAAATTACTGATAAATTCCTTTCAATAAATATGCTTTGTGAGAAATTTCATACACATAGTTCCCTTTATTATTTTAAAGAGAGCAAGAACGTTGAATTTCAAATATTTTAGGTTGTAAGCAGCTGATGAGAACCTTACGAAATAAAGTGAATTCATATTATTCTGCACCAACCTTTGTTCTTGCTCTCCTTAAAATATGCATTGTGTTGTATGTATCAAATGATAAATATAACGAATAGTTTCCAGCTATTTATTCTTAATATTGTATTAGAATAAAAACTTTGCAATAATGTAAACACTAAAATAAATATCTAATTGGTATTCACTGTTAATTTAGCTACATAAGTAGTGATAACCATGTAATTGTGAAAAGTGTTTAACTTTCATTGAATTCTACTGCCCTACATTGAATGTACCAGTTAGCAGGTAAAACTAGCGGTAAGTATAGTTTGAAGTGGTACCAAATACCTGTAACTCAGAACCAAGTAAACAAATATTTTACTGTTTTTAGGTCTCAAAAATAGAAAATCAGCATAATCTTTCTTTGAAAACTAAACAAAAGTCTTGAAAAAGCATCTTCTGAGTAAATATGTCATTCGAACACGATTTACTTATTAATAACGTTACCGCTGGTAAGGGTATTGAGAAACAACTAGTGATATAGCATTACAGCTTCAAATAAAAAGTATACACGAATTAAACTATCGTCTGCACACCCATACACAGGGTGATACAGGCAAAGTGTTCATAGTTTTAAATATCAGCTGAATGAAGTACAACTGAATAACTATTTTTTCGGTAGTGTGTTTATGATTTAAATGTGAACTAATAAACGAAATATGAGTTTTGAATCTGCAAATACAGCTCTAATTATATATCTTTATTTGACTGAACGGCACTGCAATCTACTACATATCTGGAACAGATATTAAATCATTTCCATCGTTATGAACACTAGATTATTATGGCTGTAACTTGAACAAAACACTGGTTTAGCCACTTGTTATAATTGCAGAAAAGTTATTACTTGCTACTTATTATGAATGAACAAAGACGATATGGCTCGAAGCAAAGAAGAAGGGGAGACCGCAGATCAAGATTTATTATAAACTACGAAAAAAAACATCGAAAGCTATGTTTAAATACATTAAACTGGGTAATAGTTGACACATAAAAATGTCATAATTAATTTTTTTAAAACTATTTTATCACTTAAGAAACATACTTTTAACACGTTTTTCAATTTCCACGAAATGAAAAGAAGCCAAGAATTTATCCAAGTTAAAAGATACTGCATCACTCTTGTTTAGTAATTTTATCAGTTTTGATACAACAATTTTTAATCTAACAATTTGTACATTGTAATCAGCTAATTCTAATTTAGCCACTAAACTGTACAAATTGACGCTATCTAAAGAGTGAAGTAAAAAGAAAATGAAACACTTATTATTACTGTTGTTTAGAATATGAATTATGTAAAATGATATGACAGTGTGACTAAAGTGTATCACAGATCAACATAAATATTTTCCACAAGACACATCTTAATTTTATCATTACATTAAAACATTTGATACAATGATCAAGGAATTATAGTGGATACACATCTAGGTCGGTTACTATTTACCGAATGCATACGTGAATTATTTATGATTGCTTTGTACTTTACATACCTAACTGTACACGTTACCGGTCACCTTATCGATGTTCAAGCTTCCCAATACAGAATATTGGGGTTTATAAACCATTGGCGACAGGATATTAGGAAAATAACAGTAGCACCTGACTGTTCAAATTATGGTTGGGATTATTATCAGAAAGATTGCTTCCAATCTGCTATTTATAATGTCTTACACAAAATCGGCGCCCAACTACTGGGAAACTATTTCTTAAAATCTAGACGAAGGTTATTGTATGTTATAAATCTTAAGATATTACAAACTAACTACCTAACATTAATTGGGCGCGATTATTGTTTTGAAGTAAAAAAAATCCAAGTAATCGAAATACTTAGTATTTGTAAGGCCAAAAAGACAGAAAATAATAGAAAGATCGTTTTGTGCACCAATTAGTGTTATAAAAACTGATTGCTTTTAACACGGTCGACTGGTTAGTCTACAATATTAACGCAGATTACGTTAATCGAATTAAACTAGAGACTAAATAAACAGAACGACCAATGTACCATATACTTTGATCACATAACAGATGACTTTCAAATTTGTAGGTACAGAATTTCAATAACGAATCTTACTTAGTTTAAAGTGACAAGCTTGAACAACAGTCAAGAGATGAGGCTGCAATTCAAAAATTTCGTTTGCCAATGAATTTTCATTCTGTAAAACAAGATCGAATTGTAATCAGTATAGTAAACGTTTGTACGTCCGCGAAAAATTAATCAAAATGAGTTGATAATAAATAGAATAGAAACATCTTAGAGTCCGTAATTTATGCATCCATGTGTTCTATACATATATTTCATTAAATTTTCATAAAATCAATCAATTCTCTTATCAAATCATACACTATAGGCACACCTTTTATTCCTCAAATAATAGGGTAAACAAGATAATTATCTTAGGAATGAGGTCAGCCTAAAATGGATTATGCTTCTCCATTAACCAGGTTAAATTATGAATAATTTGTGCGCTTACACATTATTTCTTTTTAACTACAGTCAGTCAGTCAGTAACAACGTGGAACTTCGTACGTACGTACATCAGTTCGAGTTGCTATACCACATTAGCACAGAGATGCAGTTATCAATTCAAATCCCATAGTGGTAGAGGTACTAAAAATATAAGTAGTGATAGGGAACATTAGGGTTTGATGATGTTATTCAAGGAGTATAATCCAGTGGAATAAATTTAGAAAGAAAATAAAGGACATGAAGAATTCAGAAGATTAGAGTTTGGGAGGACACAAAGAGTGGATGCACCTGCGCCATTGCAAACGATTTTGAGCCATGTCATTCAAGATCTCTAACCATCGGTTGCTATCGTCTCGCTAACCCCAACCAGGTAGTCTACACCTACCAACATGGCTCAGTCCACTTGTCAGTGACTTCATGGATTTGTGCCATGTTTTGGTCTGGCCGCCCCTAGCTTTCTTTCAACTACAAGATTTTCATTACTCATAAGTCATACATCTGAAAACTTACTGGAAGGTCTGGGTGTATCACACAGTTTCCTGTGAACATAGAATTGTAAGTAACCTGGTCTGTATGATCAATAGATAAGTTGGCCAAAAAAGGACGTAGACAACGCCAGGAAAGCTTTAGATGTGTTACGGAAGTCATTATATCACACCAATCAGTAAGTGAGACGATACCTATTCGAAGTCAAATTTAATAAATTTATGTATTAGACAAAAGATGAACAGTGTTGGTTACAAACTAGATTATGTAAAAATAACCCATCATTGACTTTATCTATCTCTATGTACTTATAAGTGAACAAAGACAATTATAGGGGTGCTGTGAATGGAACCTGTAAAATCAATTCGAAATAAACGGATAAATATAGGGCGAACTTAAACCCAGACTGATTACTAGCAAGTTTACTACCTGACCCGGAAATACGATAAGGAATATTAAAAGCTACCAAATTCATCACCAGACATCATCCTGACTTGATTTATCCACAGACGTTATACAACTTATCTCTATTCAAGTCAACAAACATAGAGAAGTTGAATAGCTCTCCTCAAAAAATCAATAAGTGACGTCTATAGAGAAGACACTGATGTGCACAGATACGAATTGATCCCAAGTATGTAGAAATATATTTACTGAGCCAAAGTTGTTTAATAAAAGAATTTACGAACATCAGGCTTTTAAAATGATAAAAATACATTTTGTTTTCCAATATAAACTAAAAGTGCTATCATTTTCATTCAATAAGTAGAATATGTTCTCGCTCAACAGTTACCTTGGTGATAAGTAATATCTAATTATTATCCTTAGTTTGAACTAAAACAAAATTCTTTTAAGCTTGAACACATTTAATGTTATAAGGGTCAAACGAGAAGTTACTTATTGCATCGAATATCCTTTAAAATATCTACAAAGGGAAGAAAAACACGATAAAATTACATAGTGGCTGCTTTGGTCGTCCTATTTTCCTTTGCAATATAAGGGCACTAACCATTTACTATATTATCCAAAAAGCAGTAAAAAACTTATAATCTGGTAGTCATAACAACTATAGTCAATGTATATTAATGTTGGTAAGTAATTCAGCTAAAGAATACCTTTTTTAAACGAGTGCATTTTCGAAGCTATACAACGATACATAAACAAGAAACTATCAGTAATAAAATCAGTTGATTTGTATATATGAGAATATCAATAAGATATAATCGTAGAACTGGTTAAACATCTTTATTAGTCAAACAACCAATTAAGGAGAGATCTAAAAAATTTAATGAAGGAATATTTAGTCGGTAAATGGTCAAGCTTACTAACTGTGAATAATTAATAATCAAACCTAATAACTGAGTAGTTTAATGTACTCAACTGTAAACCAGAATTTCTTGTGTGAGGGTCTAGTTAAACCAATCAGTATCCTGTCGAAGTAGGCGGAGAGCAGTATGACTCTAGGAACCACATACGGACATATTTGGCAAAATTTAAATAATGTATAAATTAAAAAAAGATCATGTCTTCTCTTACTTTAACAAAAAAGTAAAAACATTTATATTAACCTGAGTTATAAATGTCCAGTTGATTGAAACATTCCAGGAGTTTTTCTTTACGACGAATTATCCGTTGCCATAAACACACAAATGCCATATTAACAGGATCGTTTAATCTGAAGTTATTATCATAGAATTTATTAAAGAAAATAGAATAAAGTTGGTATTTTAAAAAAAAAGTGTTAAGGACTATTTATTACAACAATTTTTCCTACCTACATTTGAAATACAGAAAACTATTTGAAATGTAATATAGAAGCTATCAACAACAACAAAAAGTATTATTAATACACAAACTTTATTAAAATCTCAACATTATCAGAAATTAAAATGAATGAAAAAAGTAAAATAAAATTGTTTTACAATTTTTACACTATTCAATGTTAATAGCTTTAAAATTATCACTTACCTAATGCGTAAATTTTTAAGAAAAATTCATTAAATGTAAACTTCATTTAAATATCTATACATTAATAAAGATTATAATATAATCTAGTAATAAATAGTCATTACTAATGGCAACTAAAATAATGCTATATAAATTTATTTCATTGTCAACAATCATTACAACTTGTCTTAAGGTAATAAAACACAGTTATCATTTTATTTTATCTGTGTAAGAATATGCTGTTATATTTGGTCGTCGCAATTGCTATATCTGGTTGTCGCTGATTGTTGTGACGGAAAAACGCTGATCACTTATACTCGGAAAGAGGGACATCTGAGATTCCCACGACGCAAAAGTAAGGACACAAAGATTGGTATAAGTGAAGATTTATTAGCCCCAAAACACTATGACGATAATAATAATAATAATAATAATAATAATAATAATAATAATAATAATAATAATGATCAAATATAACAATTGGAGACGGGGCAAAAAGAAAAATTTCGATAATGCAATGAAAAGACGAAGTTTATCAGAATTATGTGATATATTAGCGCAATACATTTCGTCTTTTCATTGCATTATCGAAATTTATCAAAGGGACTAATTGTTTTAAAAAGGAAAAAATGACTCTCCCTTCCGATCGAATACAGCTGCTAGTTGAGCGACAGTTGGAGTTCTTAGTCAAGTTACGCACGCAGCTGCTGAATCACTCATGCTTTGGAGATGAGACGGAAGTGGATGGATTAATTTCTCAATTGTACACTGAGCTGGAAAATGATTGCAGCCTCCGTCAATCCTTGGCCAACTGTAATTTAAACGAAACGACAGTCATTCAGGATCCGCCCAGTGGTCCAGTACTGCCCATTTCAGAAACATGCCCGGTAATGGATTCTAATCCCATTGTCCTCAAAACACAATATACAAACACTGACCTGTCCAGCTCACAGAAAGATGGTGTCTTATTAAATGTTCATGAACTTATTGCAGTAGCTGCCCACGAACAAACAGAAAATCAATCAAGCAGCATAATGAAGACATATGCATCAAATGCAGCTCATCATTCTACGACAAAAGCATCTGATCAATCTACTTATCGCGGTTCTCTAGTTGTTTTACCAGATATGAGTTATCTTAATGACTCACATGCTTTCAATCAAATTTCTTACAAAAATGGGGAAACTTTGTCGGATGCATCAAACGATGATCAAGAACCTAATAAAATTATGATAGACGCTGATTATTCTAGTGGTCTACTATGTACCAATGAGATTTTCAAGAAATTTGATGAAAATCTTTCAGAAGAACCAAACTTCGATCACCTCATATCAAGCGTCGTTCAGCTTCACCACTCAGTCACTTTCAGTCGATTTTCTGCTCCATGCGACAAATATGTCTTAAATAAATTCAAATTTATTGTAACTTGGGCATATGAGGATCCAAAACTGTTTCGTGGGGGAGGATGAACTCGGAAGATTTCAAATCCAGATATTCAAAAAAGGGGAGGTGATATGATGGAAAGAAAAGTCAATTTTCGATTGATTTACTCAATATGAGTTTTATTCATCATTACATCCGTTTTGATTCAATGTAATGATTACTCAATGTAGTATTTGTTTTCTGTTTCGTATGATATCTTATCATGTATAATATACGATATTCTTGTATTCCATTGACCTGAACTATGCTATGTAAATGATTTTTTATAACTGAGTGTGTGATTTAATCCTAATTACTAATCAAATAGGTGTACAATCAATATATAAACCAGTTTATTTTAGACTATGATCATCATCATCATCATCGTCGTCATAGTGTTTTGGGGCTAATAAATATTCACTTATACCAGTTTTTGTGTTCTTACTTTTGCGTCGTGGGAATCTCAGAGGTCCCTCTTTCCGAGTATAAGTGATCAGCGTTTTTCCGTCACAACAATCAGCGACTACCAGATATAACATATACAATCTATAGGAAATTAGATTTGGCAATGATCGTTAGTAACCTACAAGCTGCATCAGTAAATTGTACGTTTTAGACACAACAGCAATGTGAAATATTACACGTATTTCATGCATTCGAAAAATGATATTAATAAGAAGTTTTAAACAAGACAGTTTAATTTCGCTGGATTCTTGATGGATCCATACGATCTAAATGATTGTATAAGTAACCATTGCATCAAAGTAAATGTATAGGACATTTAGATTCAGAATTAGATCTTATTTATATAGACAAATGGGAATAAAAAAGTATTAAGTGTTTAAGAAATACTAAAATAAATTAAGAGATGGACATACTTAACATATGTAATGATAATAAGTACTGGGATCTTACTTAGTTTAGATTGCGATCAAATAAGACAAACAGAATTTGATGACAGATGTGTAGTCAAAAGTACTTTTAAGTTAGAACAAAAGGAGAACAATGCAGAACTATCAAAGAAAAGATGGAAACGTCAAAAGACTGATATATTTTTACCATTTATTTTCCGATACAATAACTTTGAGGAAAAAATCAGTAGGTGAACTAAATATGGTTAACTTAGAATATTTACATAGTCCAGTCTGTCTTTTCGCTGGAGCAATGTGGTTAATAAGGCAATTCAGACTAAGCGTTCCTATGTTAGCTAATTCACGTCCTTTATATACGCAGTTTATTCAGATCTACCTATTCCTCCTAAATTGAATAATATATGTTAGGGACACATTTCCGAACGAAGAACATCTAATTTTTCAACTGATTTTCTCTACAAAACCGCTGGATTGAATGATTATCATAATTATTTTGGTCTTTCATATAGAAACAATGAATTACTTTCCTCCCTTTCTAGCTTCACACTACCTTCTCACAAACCTCGATAGATAACCATTGTGGTGTAGACAATCGTCAATCACTTTCAGCTTGGATCGAAATTCTTTGACCCAATAAAAGTTCTTTAGTGGTGATCACGAATATAGCGAAGTGTGCAAACGCAATGAATAAAAAAACTTAGAGGCTCATCGCAACTTCAGATGAATAGTTGTAAAAACATATGAATGTAATTAAAAAATTTACTAGATACCACTGAATATCGACAGTTGTATAAACTGATCAAAACCCTGAATAACTAAAATACAAAGAACTTACTTTCTGTCATTATCTAACAATTGATCTTGTATTCGCATAAGAACAAATACATTCACATAGATGTTAAGCGATGTTGAAAAAGTATCTTTTGGTACACATTTTATCGGATACAGAGAAACAATAGCGTTTGGGTTGGTTATTTGATTAGACTTCCTACCAGTAACACAAGCATAAGCACCTTCATTACTGCGTAGTGTGAAATAATCGAATGATGAAAATATAGTTAGAACTTTTCCTGAGTGGGAAATATGCCATCCTTCCATACGGCATTCATGAGATCGAATAATCATAGAGAAACTTGTTGTACCTAAGAAACTATCAGTAATATCGGGACCAAAATAACAACCTGCACCACGGAAACCGTTGGGTCTACATCCATCTTTATCTTGAGGATCACTCCATAATAAATCTAAAACCTAATAAAACAAGACAATAGAAGCACAACAAACAACTGCATGAGAACTAAAAAAGTCATTGAAAATGTTCACCAAAACATTAATGTGAAATCAAAATCGTCAGAAAAAGAATCGCTTTTCAGTTCTATTACAAAACCATAAAAACACCACTCATTAATTTTTTTACGTAAGAACAGTTAAACATCCATTTGTTTCATACCTGTTGCCAATCATTAAAATTTACACAGTTATCCCCATCCAAACATGGTTGTAGAAGTGAGGAAAGCTTTGGAATAAAATTTAACAAAACAAACAGAAAAAGAATGACAGCAGCACGATATATGGTCAAACAATTAGGTGAAAGCACACACTTTAAAATTACAACTATCGTATACGGATACGGAGGATCCACCTAAGGGAATTAGAAAACCCTGATCCCAAACCAATGGTGCATACGGGCTCCAGGATCCCAAGGAAACAAATGGAGTATGAACCAATTATTGGTCACCGGTTACCATGGGACTGCATCTCCTGACGTTGCTCCACTGCCTTGTGGGTTAGACTTCTAGGTCAAAGGCTTGGAGTGTGGTCCCCTAAGAAAACCACCCGCTTCGGTTTGAACACCCGGGAAGTATCGCAGCCCTCACACAAATCGAATGATTTGTGTGGCGCATATCTATTTGATGCCTTCTTGTACTAATGTTTATGTGTTTAAATAAATAAATAAAATAATGCACACCCACAATATATCCTTTGCACTGATCATAGAACTATACTAAATTTAAATGCTAATAGAATTTCCAAAATATATCGTAATTGTAAAATCTAAACACTATTCATATATATTCAAAAATATAGTAAGTAAAATTTAGATTTTGTTGAAACACTACTTTTTTAGTCGTTATAACTAAGTTTACAGTCTATTAATTTAAATAAGACTATATCCCTATCTTATTAGTTAAATCTAAGTATCTTCTTAATCGTTTTGAATAATTGATCATTCCAGTTGATAATCCTGAACTATCACATACTACTTTCATAGTAAACCTACTAATTTACATTGTATTCCAACTATACTACTATTTATCTGGTCTATTCATTGTGAATAAGATGACCAATTCCTGATTTCAAGTCGCTAATAATTAAATCATATTTGTTAATCCAACATTCACACTTCACATGAAGTGTATTCAAAACGATAAATAAAAAAATACGACAAATTTGCCATATTCTGCGAATTTTGCTGTTTTTGTTTTATTTAAACAAATAAAATTTTGATATTTGTTTTAATTTCTCCTAAAAAAAAACTAATTTTAAATTCAGATAAGTCTGCTTTTATCTCACTTTAAATCTATTTAGAAGCTTTAATTTCATAAGATCTGTATGTTTTGATATACCACCATGGCAGATAAATATTCTTTCATTGACGATAGCTCCAATTGGTAGAGAGCAGAACAATTTGTCACATAAATGAATTAAATTATTTTTGTCCTTCTACAAATTGAAAAGTCAATAATAATAATAATAATAATAATAATAATAATAGGCTAAAATAATCGAATGAGTTTTTAGATCTTGATTTCAGTACAATTTTACGATGAGTAACTGAAGTCTCTTTTAAATATAGTGGTTAGTTTATTTATTATAATTTGGTTTGTAGGATTAGTATTTTTATACTTCATGAAGGGAGTTAAATTCATAATTCATTCAATCATTTCATTTTATGCGATATATTACAAATTATTATTTAATTTCCTAGCGCTTTACCTACATTATCGTTTAAATAATTAGTGAAATCAAGGTTAATGATATTTTCATACTAGGAAAAATAGTAGAACATAAGATTAAATTCTTCTAAATGTGAATTGTTTTACAAAGCTAATAATCTTAAAAAATACTGTTGTATATTTAGGTTCATCAACCGTTAATTAAGTGAACATGCTTTGATGAAAATTTATTACAATATATTACCATTAGACAATCTGTTTAGATATAATAACTTGACTGATAAGAAAATATTTATTAATGATAATTACAGTAAAATGTTATAGCAAATAAGATCAGCATATTGAGACATAAATATTATTGATAAAAATTAAAACTAAGAGTTAAAAATTGCCAAGCATCGTTTAACTCAATGATCCATGCAGACTAGTAAAACAGACAAGAGTTAAGAAAAATCAAATCAATACCAGTCTGTATGTTGACTAACTATTGTGGATAGGTACAAATGTCCTAGTCAAGTTCCATGAAACAACCATAAAAAGTTGAAATCCTTTATATTTAATCACTTTTTTAAACTATTCATAATTTCAAATTATTTGTCACATTTCATATATTTTGTTCATCAACTTCAATAATTCTTTTCGAAATATATTCTTTATGTTTAGCTGCCAACATTATTACTCTGTCTTTTCGTTGCCCTAATGTAAGAACAAGTAGGAACTCGATCTAATGTACATCTATGTAAAATCCTACACTGTTTTTGAATGACATCAGTAAGATTCATAATTGAATGAAGGAGTCTTAAATATATCAAATCTTTTTCCACTTGACACTAAACTTGTTATGATGGGCGATATATATATATATATATATATATATATATATATATATATATATATATATATACTCTGTAGAAAGTAGAACCCATTTCTTAGACAATTATATGCGCTTGTCCCTTAGGACACATCCCATTGGTACCAAGTGACTTTTTCATTCGGCTACTTCTGATTACCCCACAATATTGAAACTCTTCTAATGGTTAGACATACTTTCGAGTTAGAACAAAATTACTATATTAAAAACTATAAACAACAAGAAGACTCCGAAATGAATTTCGTTAAAAAATTTAATTAAGAATCCTAATAAATAATGCTTGAAAAAAAAATTTTTAAGATATAATTGCAAGATAGTTGAATAATGAACAGACTACATTAATAAAGTCAAAACTGTAAAACGAGAATACAACTTACAGAATATTTATTTGATAGTTCTTTTACAAATCCATACCTAAACAAGTTTGCAACAGAATAAAACTCGTTAGGATGCAGAAAAAGCTTTAGTGAGGATAGCCGTCAGTAAACAATAAAGTACTATTAAAAATGAAATGAAGCCTTACTTCTATCACTGTCACTGCCAATAACAAACTTCTCACGAAGTAACATGTAAAAGTTTGGAGTCGTGGCTTAATGTGTTCGACTTTCTACCAATAAGTCGCATGTTCGAGCCCCACTCCACCTACTTCCGTTTAAGAACCCGAATAGTATCAATAACCTATAAACATAAAGTGTGGCTGGAAACCAGGTATACGAATGAGTACTTCGTGAACTGCATGAAACATGTACAAGTTAAATATGGACAGTTAGCAAAAACAAGAAATAAGAAAAGTAGAACACATGATACTGAATTTTAATACTCATATACAAGTCTATATAAGAGAGAGCCGAGTAATTTAAATATATAGATACATTCGAATAAAACACTTTGAGTTTAACCATTATATATATTCTTATGAGCTTTAGCAACTAAGTTTGCTACGAAAACATTCAGTTGACCCGTGCACGCATTTTGCTACTCTAAGATATTTACTATTCTCCTAAAAAATAGGGCGTAATCGAAATAATAATATCAATGAAAATATCGGTTGAGTATTTATATATTTGCATAATTCAACTGAAAAAAAAGAGATCTAATAAAGAGTAAGTAAATGTGAAGACGAAAAGGTCAAAGGTGAAATGATAAACACACGAAATAATAAATTTTTGATAATACCATAAACATTTCGTCTACTGGAAGGAAAGAACAGCAATACGTCTCAATAATTTGTACTACACTTTATAAAGAAATGAGTGTTATTTCAGAGAATAAAACAAACCAAACTTAATTAAATTGTGTTCACTTATAAATGACGTAGCAATTTCATAAAATGGTTCGCAAAAAGACATTTCAATAACATTTTGCATAAAGCAAAAGTGTGTAAACTCCATAATAAGGCAACTGACTAAAATTAAGTCGACTCCATCATAAACTAACACCGGTTGGCGAATTACTGGAAACTAGTATGTGCTAAACAGCTGCTTTATCTAAGTTTGAGATTCGCTAACAGTGTGTACCTACTACTATCAAACATAGCAACTTTAAATCTCGCAGAGAGTACGGCATCACTAAATCACTGGCAAGGTCGTACATGACAATAGAACAAAACAAATCCGTAATATAATATATTGTTAGATTTATAATAAAAACTAACCTTTCATTCACCATGATATCTTCATGATTTCCCCGATTAAGAAATACATAAGTTGGGTAAGTTAATACAGCCATCAACAATAAACTTAACACTTCGACTGATTTGGTTCCTCGATCGACAAAATCGCCATTGAATACAAAACGATTCCGAGAGTTCGGTAAACCAGTCTATAAATACGATAAAGTTAATATGAGTAATACATGAAGCCTAGTGAACACATCCTTTAGAAATGTAAACTTATGGATTTTTTGTGTTTGTCAAGTTTGACTCTGAATGGAAATAGTATCATAGCTATTAGACTGAGAAACTTTCCATCATGATAAAACTGGTTTAATATCGGGTAGTTCGAGACAAGAAGTCTTTAGTAATTACACATGAAAATCGATCGATGGAGCTATATAAAGACTTATAACTGGAGAGAATGACTTGTTGATATCTAATAGCTAATTAATGGTTGGTTCAATAAAAAAAGGTTTAAAACGTGATTCAAAAATCCAATTATTAAGGTGTGTGACCTCGGTATTCGGATATGTAGATTTAAAATTTGTGTCTAGCTACTCCGAATTTGCAGATATTTGATGCTGGTGAGTGACAACCAAACTAAAACTAGATTTAAGACATCCAATTTAACCTATTCAAACACCTAACATTCAAAGCGAATAGAACAGAAATTTAACGTACATAAATTTTTTACTTACAGTGTAGCCCAAATAATCCCGATTCACTTCTATAAAAGCTTTTAAGTACTTATCTCTACTGTATTAACGTTTTTTGAATTCATCTCTAGTTGGTTTATAAGAAAAACTTTAAAATCCATTTTAAAAGCATCTCAAGATACATATGATTTTTTGTGGTTAACATAATCCGTTTTTAACATATTCTGCATTTGAGATATTACGAGTCAAGAGCTTACACTATAATGAGTACAGACTAAAAGAAACCATTTGAGATCGAACGAGCAACAAATACTATACTTTAACTGATACTTAACAGTGAACGGATAATAAGAAGATAAGACTAAAATATGTGGGAAAGATTTTAATGTCACAAGATAAAGCAATCGTACAGATAAATACTGCGGATTAACTAGTGCCTATATGACCGAGGAATAAAAGCAACAAAATAGTTTGCTATCAGTGATCAATCAGTTATTTTTGATGGACCCTATAAATTGTCTACAAAAACTTAAACTACCATTTTGGAAATAACTCTGAGTACGTGAAGAAAAAAGGAAATTGTCCTAATTCAATGTTTGCAATAAGCGATATAAGGAATATCAAAATTAATATATGCAATAAAGTTTACATACTGTTTATCATTCACTATATAATTTATACAGCAACAACGTGGAACTTCGTACGTACGTACATCAGTTCGAGTTGCTATACCACATTAGCACAGAGATGCAGTTATCAATTCAAATCCCATAGTGGTAGAGGTACTAAAAATATAAGTAGTGATAGGGAACATTAGGGTTTGATGATGTTATTCAAGGAGTATAATCCAGTGGAATAAATTTAGAAAGAAAATAAAGGACATGAAGAATTCAGAAGATTAGAGTTTGGGAGGACACAAAGAGTGGATGCACCTGCGCCATTGCAAACGATTTTGAGCCATGTCATTCAAGATCTCTAACCATCGGTTGCTATCGTCTCGCTAACCCCAACCAGGTAGTCTACACCTACCAACATGGCTCAGTCCACTTGTCAGTGACTTCATGGATTTGTGCCATGTTTTGGTCTGGCCGCCCCTAGCTTTCTTCCAACCTACTCCTACACCATAAAAAACCGCACGTCGAGGCAGTCGGTGGTTCGGCATATATAACACATGTCCCAGCCATCTCAACTGATTAAGTTTCACTACTTCATCAATTGATTTGCCATCGTTACCTAGTACCCGTATCCTAACAACTGAGTTGCTTACTCGGTGGTCCCAGGATATATGAGCAATGCTTCGAAGACACCTATGGTTGAGTACTAGTAACCTACAATTATCCTCTACTCTTACCGGCCATGTTTCACTGCCACAAAGTAGGACGGAACGAACTGCTGCACAGTAAACTCGTCCTTTGGTTGGTAGACAGATATCTCGCCTACGCCACAAATGACACAAGTTGGCAAAAGCTAGTCGAGCCTTCTGTATCCGTGCTGAGATTTCGTCACATACCAGACCTAATATGATGGGAAGAAAAGTCAATTTTCGATTGATTTACTCAATATGAGTTTTATTCATCATTACATCCGTTTTGATTCAATGTAATGATTACGCAATGTAGCATTTGTTTCTTTTCTCATATGATATTTTATTCTGTACAATATACAATATTCTTGTATTCCATTGACTATGAACTATACTCAGCATATGATTTGTTACAACTGTGAGTATTTTTCATGTATGTGATTCATTCTAATTATTAATCAAAATGGGTGTACAATCAACATATAAACGAGTGTATTTTCTACTAAAATCGCTCGTTTCCTGGTTGTTTGCAGAATATACTTCCCATTCTATGCTTGGACTTCTCCCTCTAGATAGCGGGGCTGGGACGCATCAATAGCTAGCTTACTGGTCTTTGGTCACCCAGTCTTGTTCTCGTTCGCAGATTAAGTGAACTCGTGATAGCATCAAACCTAGCACAGACCACAAGGGCTGATGAGACTTCCAAGATAAGTGGAGCGGTCGACACGCTCAACTACTTCACTCCCTATCACTAGTTCGGGTGTCGATGCAACCCAATCCTGAAGCAACATTTTGCATTTTGAGGGAGAAAATCGCATGCCGAACATGCCTTCATTGTTGCTTAGAGTGGTCAGCAGACTCGGCATTGTGTCAGCGTCTTCACCAAATAGAACTATGTCATCGGCATATTCTAAGTCAAAAAGTGGATCTCCCGGTAGAAGTTCAACCCCTGGACATTCAGATGTGGAAAGTGTTATCTCTAAAAGCGCGTCAACGACAAAGTTAAACAAGAATGGAGAGAGTGGACAGCCCTGCCGAATACCACTTGAGGTAATCAGTTCTGATGACAATTCGCCATAAGCTCTCACTCGACCACTTGTTTTCGAGTAGAGAGCCTTTGTAAGGTTAATGTACTTCTTTGGTACTGCTTCCAGTAATAAACACTGCTATAGAACCTCACGATCAACGGAGTCAAATGCCGCCTTAAGGTCGAGAAATACGATTATTGTGGGGCGTCTGAATGTGTGTCTATGTTCCAGGACCTGATGTAGTGTGAATATCTGGTCTATACAACCACGTCCAGGTCGAAGACCAGCCTGGTTTCCTCTAGTCCGCTCTTCACGAGCTTTGATTAGGCGTCGAAGTAATATTGAAGCTAATATTTTAGACACTATATTAGCCAAACTAATTCCTCTGTGATTGCCACAAGAGCACTTTTGTCCTTTCTTATAGATTGGCACAATCAGTGATTGAGACCAGTCAGATGGGATTACGTTCAGTTCCCAGATTCTACCTAAGACGTCAGTCAATCTCGCTGCTAATACTGGACCGCCATCCTTAAGAATCTCAGGGGTAAACCTTCGTTATGTTCAGAGCCAGATGGAATGAGTTTTCAAGCATCTATCAGTGCGGTAGACGCTGCTGAGATCCAGTGTTTCTCCTTAACCTTATGGTTTACCAAACTTGCAGACATCACTGCTGTTTCGACAGCTTTTCGGATGTCATTCCACGCTGCCTCGGGGTGGGCATCACTTACATGGCTGCCTGACTGTATTCCTAATTGTTCCTGAGACATACTCTTAGCTTGACTATCATTAAGTACGACCCTAAGGGGTTTCTTTGCACCATCTTTCCTACGTCCAGAAAGACGCAGGCAAATACGCGCTCGCACTAGAGCATGATATGAGTCTAAGCATGTGCTCCAAAATGAGCGACAGTCTTCTATCGAGCCCCTCCATCGGTGGCTGATGGCGATGTGATCTATTTGGGTCCAACGTTGGGACGAATTAGGGGGTCGCCATGTCAAAAGACGTTTTTCCTTATGCTTAAAGTTAGTGTTTGCAAGAAACAGACGGTTATCTGAGCATAGCTGCAACAGACGGTCGCCGTTATCTGTTCTTTGAGCCGCGACACCATAAGATCCACCCAGGTGTCTTTCTCTTTCGTTTAGTTTACCTAGTTGAGCATTAAAGTCACCAGCCACTATTACTACATCTGAACGCCTAGCTTTTCGGAGAAGGTCGGAAAGCTTTCTGTAAAACTCATCTTTTACATTATCTGAGCTGCAGTTAGCGGGAGAGTAGGCAGAGACGACGAAGAGGCAACGACGAGTGTCCCTATCTTTCCCAGTCCTTACTGTTCCGTTTAGTCAGACAGCGCACAAACGACTGTCTACTGGGATCCAGTCTAAGAGAGCTAGTTCTGCCCTAGGACTCAATGCTATACCTACGCCAGCGAGGCCACTGGAAGCAGCATCAGGGCTTCCAGATACACAAAGCGTAAATCGAGTCGGTTCGTTACTTTGACATGGTGAGGTCAAATGAATGACACCACTCGGATCCTGTGTGCGCGTTTCGGAGACGCAGCACACATCGATGGAGCGAGGTTCTAAAGTCCTAGCTAAGGAAGCCTGTTGTCCTACTTGGCACAGTGTTCGGACGTTGAAAGCTCCTATGTGTAATTTAGAGCGTGGTTTCAAACGACCAGGAATAACGTTCCGCGTACTCGAATCGTTTGCACTAGTGGGGCGAGGTGATAAAGGGACATGAGAAGGGTTAGTCGTGGAAATAAGAGAGTTATTAGGAGGTGTAGGAAGAATTTGAATGTGACCAACTTGGTCTCGTGTGCTGTTACCGGTATGAGGGCTGATATCACTTTCCGGCTGCCCACACCGTGGAAGGGTATTTCTTGAGGAACCTGAAAAGGAAATCGCATTAGTGTTTGTCTTAAAGACCTGGGAGCGTGACCGCAGAGCCCAAGGGACAGCTGCTTGAGGCCGGTCGCGCACGGCCTTTTTGTGGGAGGTTTTAAATGTGTAAGCTCCGTTCTTCAAAGGGCCTTACCGCCGGAGACGGAAATCCGTGGGGTAAGGTGAAGTGTGACATTTTTAGGGTCAACCCTTTCCTTCCTTGTGAGAAGGCAGCATCGCTGTAGATGCTAGTTGTCCGAGGGAAACACCTTACTGCTGTCACACCTCTGTACAGTCAGCAGTACGACTGCGCCCTCAGACCTTGATTTGCTGATTTTAGTCTTACCGTTCTCCAATAGACCTGCCTGGCATGGTAGAACCTGCAGGAACATATGTTCCAGCCAAAATAGCTCAGCTGGGTCATCACGATAGGCAAGCCCGATCACCACGTCAAGGTAGCAGATACGATCGGGAAAAAATAATTTATGCACCTTTTTGCACTATTTTGTACAATAACATTACTATCGAAACAAAATTATTTAGGATAATCCATGTGATTTAAGTAATTTGACTGTTTATTTGTAAATTAAATCTTATCGGTTATAATCCAGCGTTAACAATTTAGGGTTGATGATATTGGGTAATAGTGGTACATACAAATTGTATTTTATTCTTATAAACTATAGTATCCCAAATACATTTGAGTTGTAGGCTGAATAGATGCTAAAACCAATGACAACCACTTAAGATGTAGTCTATGAACTTGATAATGGTTCTAACAGCACTGTCGTTATGTAGTTTAAAAATTATGACGAGGTTGGATCGTGGCAAGATAAACTAATAATCAAATGGGAATCATATATCCACGTAGAAAAAACACCTTCTTTGCACAAAACTAAATAAAATAATTCGTTGTCAGTCAGTCAGCTGCAACGTAGGACCAGGCACGTATATGCATCAGTCCAAGTTGCCATACCGCATTAGCACAACAAGATGAACACCGGATTCATAGAAGTAGTGTGTATAAGGAGATAGTACAGGAATATAGAATTAGTTCCTAGAAAAAAAGATTTGAAGTGATTTTATTCTCTTAGTTTAAAGGAAGACAGAGAGTGTATACACCGACGCCATTGTGATCGATTCTGAGCCATGTCGCCAAGAGTCTCCAACCATTGGTTACGATAGTTACGCGGACCCCAACCAGGCAGTCTGCATCTCCCAACATGGCTCAGACCAGAAGTTAGTGACTTCAAGCACTGATGCCACGTTTTGGTTTGGCCGCCCCTAACTTTCTTCCAATTATCCCCTGCACTAGTCAGCATTGCGCGTCGTGGTAATCGGTGTTCAGCCATACGCAACACGTGGCCCAACCATCTCACTCGATGAAGATTCATAACCTCATCAACTGATTTACCATCATTCCCTAATACCCTGCGTCTAACCTCACTATTACTTACCCGGTGATCCCAGCAGATACCCGCAATATTTCTAAGGCACCTGTGGTCAAATACTAGTAACTTACGAATATCTTCCACTCTTAAAGGCCATGTTTCGCAGCCGTATAGAAGGACGGAACGAACTGCCGCGCAGTATACTCGTCCCTTAATTGATAGACGGATATCTCGCCTTCGCCATAGATGACGTAAGTTGGCAAAGGCCAAGTGAGCTTTTCGAATCAGTGCTGAGATTTCGTCAGACACCAACCCATTAGGGATGATCACACTTCCAAGATATGTGAAGTTGTCAACGCGTTCGACTACTTCACCCCCTATCCTTAGTTCAGGTGTTGATGCAGACCAGTCCTGAAGCAACAACTTGCATTTAGAGGGAGAAAAGCGCATCCCAAACATTCTGGCATTGTTGCTCAGTGCTACCAAAAGACTCTGCATTTCATCAGCGTCTTCACCAAACAGGACTATGTCATCTGCGTATTCTAAGTCGATAAGTGGACCTCCTGGTAGGAGACCAATACCCGAGAAGTCAGTCGATGAGAGCGTTATTTCCATCAGGATGTCTATGATAAAGTTAAACAAAAAAGGAGAAAGTGGACAGCCTTGACGGACGCCACTTGAGGTTGCAAAAGCAGATGACAGTTCGCCATAAGCTCTGACCCGACTAATAGTGTTCGAGTAAAGAGCCTTCACAAGGTTTATGTACTTCTGAGGTACGCCTTTCAATGACAGACACTGCCACAGAACCTCTCGATCTACAGAGTCAAACGCTGCTTTTAAGTCAAGAAAAACCACCATGGTCGGACGCCGATAAATGTGCCTGTGTTTTAGAACCTGACGAATGGTGAATATATGGTCGATGCAGCCACGACCAGGTCTGAAGCCAGCCTGATTTTCACGTGTTTGCAGCTCACGAGTTTTAGTTAGGCGTCTGAAAATTATCGAAGCTAGTATTTTAGATATTATATCAGTTAAACTAATCCCTCTGTGGTTGTCACAGGATGATTTTGACCCTTGCTTAAATATTGGGACGATAAGTGATTGTGACCAGTTAGATGGGATGACGTCTAACTCCCAGATTTTAGCTAAAATATTAGTCAACCAAATCGCTAAAACTAGACCACCATCCTTAAAGACCTCTGGGGCCAATCCATCTGGACCAGCTGCCCTTCCTCGTTTCAGATTAGCTATAGCCTTTTGAACTTCAGCTAGAGTTGGGGGACCTACATCAATGTTCCATTCACACTGTCTGGGAATAGAGGGTAGTTGTAGAGTAGCTGAAGGCCAACTGAATTGCTCCTTAAAATGTTCCGCCCATCGTTCTAAGCGTCTGAACTGAGAGCAGATGAGAGTGTCGTCTTTTTCCGAAATAGTCTGTCTTACACTTGATTTATTAATTCCAGTTTCTTTTATTAGTCTGTAGAGTTGTCTTGTGTTCCCTATAGCCGCCGCCTTTTCCATCTCTTTTGCTTTCGTTGCCCACCACTGCTCACGATCATTCTTTAGACTTTTGCTTAATCTAGATCTGATTTCTTTACGCTCTTCATCGTATTCAGAACCTGATGGGATGTGTTTGCGAGAATCCATCGGTGCAATAGACCTTGAAGAAATCCATTGGTTCTTTGTAACCCTGTGGTTTAAATCACTAGTAGATGTCACTGCTGTTTCCACAGCTGCTTGTATAACTTTCCAAGCAACATCTGGGTCAGCCTCGTTTTCAGAATTACCTAAGTGTGACCTCAGTTGTTCCTGGAACCTACTTTTGGTTTTCTCATTACTCAATTCTGTTCTAATGAGTGTTTTTTGTGTGGCTTTTTTGCGTCCAGTGAGGCGCAAGCAGATGCGTTCTCGTATTAGGGCAAATCCGTCGTAGTTATTCTTAAAACGAGAAACCTTAATTAAATTAAAACTACCGATCCATGGAAAATACACTGAACTGCATGTTAGACAGTTTTCTCTATAGATTAATAATCTAAACACGTAATTTATAATTACTAACAGCAATAGATATCATATCTTAATCTACCGTAGCCTGAGTAGCTAAATAGTATCCTTATGTATCCACCATACACCAAGGGTCATTTCAGATACAAATCGTAATCTGAATTTTAAGTTACATTTATATTTATCTATTAGTCTTGTTGTCTACTCAACCATGTTTTATTATTTCAGTTATCATGATTAGACGGCGTTAGCTATGCAATGAGATTCTTAACGTAATCTGTACAACACAACCACTTATATATAATATGATGAATTAATAAAATACAGTAATAATTAAAGTAACCTTGATGGAATGATACAAGCCATTAAAAATATGTAATTAAAAAATGGGTGTATCTCAGTAAAATTATATATATATATATATATATATATATATATATATATTCGATCGAAATACGTTGAAATAAAAATATTCTAAAATGAACTGAATAAATTTGACCGTTTTCATTTGATTTTATACATAAGCTTACTTCTTCGAAAACTCTTAAAGCTGCAATCAAATTGCCATGGAGATCACCACAGATAATCAAATGATGTTCATCTTCAAGTTGAATTTCTGTTAGATTTGGTTGTTGGCTAAAAAATTCTGTAGCTTTGTTCAGTATCAAAGTGAAGAAGTTGGTGGGAATTATCTAGAAATCAAAAAATGTCAAATTCATTTACAGGTAATATGAGATAAGTTTTTACTCCTTACTAATCATTGTATATTGTAATGATGAAACAGCAGGACAGTAGTGGTTAATAGACTCTAATACCAGTTATTGAGTCAAGTCCGAACGCTATTTGACCTACATCAGCTAGGACAGTATCAAAAGCCCACATAAAAAATACATGGCTCAAAAAGCGGTGCAGAAACTTGTGATAACAAATGAGTTCACCTGGATTTACAAATTTATTATTATTTCTAAGATACGAGCAAGCACACCAAATGACTTATTTAGGTGATTAGCGGTGGCCAACAGGAAAACCTGGACCTAAGTTTCGTGCTAGCTGGCGCCTATCGGCAGGGCGTATCTGTAAATTAGAGGGAACATGTGCTCCCTCGTAGATTTGACACTGACTACCTCCAACCTCCAAACATTTCAATAGTGTATGCAATGTCGACGCGCCCAACTACTTCATCATTTATAATTAGCTTGATCAGTCCTGAAGCAATAAGGAACAAGTAAGTTGCCATACATAATGGATGTTCTATATATTAAAAAAAATTATATATGTGAAAATCCCAACGATTGAAGTAAAAAATAACTCCCAAGTTTCGCCCGGCATTCTGCTTCGAGAGTCTTCAAGAAAATAATTAAAAATCAGAATTGTTGAATAAAAATCGAGTTCATAAAATAATTGTAAACTAAGTGATTATCCAAACAAGTTGGGATACGCAAAATACGGAGTTATTTTGTGAATCCTATATCCGACCATGTTTAGTTTTGATTAATTCCCTGAAAAAGCTCAAACCAGAATGCCAAACAAAATATTGGAGTTCTTTAATTTCAATTGCTGAGATTTTTCCAGAGATAATTTCGTTTTAATGTCTTTCATAAACTAGGAACTCAAATATTGTGAAACTACTAATTCAGATTTAGACAAAAATTCCTACAAAAAAAGGATATTATAGATCATTAGATCTCTAAGAGATATAACACTGATTAGAGTTATGGACACTATCACTCAATATTTGGTTGCTCTAAAATAGTAACTAAAAGTATATTACATCTCTAAAAATAAAGGAAATGTTTCTATAATTGATGAACTTGTCGTTTCAAGAGACTGAACATACCTTATCTGACTGTATCCAAGTAAGAAAGGATAGAAAAATCTCTTCAGGTATTGGGAAGTGTATGTGATTAGGGTCCGGATTAAAATCGTTTGTAAATGAAGGTTCCCTATTGCACAAAAACTTGTTGGGTGCTGAAATAGAAAAATAAATGAAGAGTAGGACTAGGAAAACAATAAGAACCAAGTGATCAGATGGGTATTGGGCAGTGTAACTACTAAAACTTTGGTAAAATGACCAATTGGTCGTCAAACTTAAACTTGGGTAAATACTGATCAGAACTTCAGGCCAATAACTAGCAAGTTGGGGGAGACAAAACTAAAACATGATCCTCGATATTATCAAGGACTGAATCATATTAGGAACGACTATAGTATTGATACGAATCACAAACCAAATACGAAGGCATGTCAACTCAGTCAATTTGAAGGAAACGCTTAGATCGAATTAAATTTCTACTTAAAAAAGGAAGAATTAATATAAATAACTCCAAATAATGACGGATTTCAGTGTAGAGGCTGTAAAGTATTGGATGTTGTTCAAAATAACTTAATTAATTAATTGACAAATCCTATTATACAGTATACTCTGCAACCACTAATACGTAAACATCTAACCGTTTTACTGACAACTGTTCTATAAACTCTTTGTTATCTTTTTTATTGACTCCTGTCCGTTTTGGTCCTTCACGTTGTTTCAAACCCACTAGGTTGGAAAAAAAGAAATGATCTAAACTGCGAAACTGTTGAATTATATATCGTCTTATTTAATTATCTTTGATGAACAAACAATTCAACTAATTTTTATTTTAATGTCAGGGAGGTTTTCGATAACTCGATGAGACGAAATGAATTGATTTCTGTGCAGGAAAATAACTTGCTGAGATACAGAAGTTAGACATTAACACTGTTGGATGCTGACTCGGTGATCTGAAGATTAAGTGTTCGTGCGCGACACCGAAAATCCTGGATTCGATTTCGGTGTGCGGAGTCATGAATAGGCACTGCTGAGGAACCCCATACTAGGACGAACCGGCCATCCAATGCATTCAAATTTTAAATGGTCTGCATTAAATTGGTTCATGATTTCAATGAAATAATTGCTTAATTGTCATTTACATAGCATTAAAAACAACGATCTGATGGAAAGTACAAGTTCATTGTGAAATACATAGTAGTTAATTCAGTGCATTATTGTCCTAAGTAAAAAGGAAGACAAGTCTACACAAAGAAATGCGCAACAAAACCTAATTAAACACTCCCAAATGGTAGTCATCCATGTATTTTAGCTACTAAACAACATAAATTTGAATGTCTTTTGGATAACACGATAATAAAAACCTGTGAATAACTGTACACAATTTATCAAGAGAGAAAAATTGTAACTCAAGATTAGAATGGTGTTATTTCATATTCTCCGAAGTTCATTTTTCGTGAAATTAAAAGACGAAGTTGCTCAAATTGGTGATGAAAGCGTGATAGTTAGATATGAAAGCCCGTATCACATCAAAATTTATTACTATTATTACTATTTTCACTTTCACATTTACACATTATATATTAATTTATTGTAGGAAGTTTAAAAAAAGAACCGATTACAACAGATATGGGACAACATACAACAAAAAGATAACTAATGATAAATCTAAACTTGATTTCATCAGTGTTCGCTAAAACTTTCCATGAGGAAAACATTAAATTACCCCAACCAAAAAATATAGCGACCTTACCATCTCCATCCCCAAAGCTAGATAATATGAGCTGTAACTAAGGAGAAAAGACAATGATAAAAATAATTCTACAATGAGTAAACGCCGTAAACAGAAACTGTAATGTCCTAGTTTAAAAACATATTGTTCAGGAGAATGAATCTAGCTTTTTTAGTGAATATTCAGCTACGAGACCCAGAAAAATTAAGTGTCTTAAAGGCAATGATAGTTTGGTTTTAAATTTTCGTACAAAAAACTCTAAGTAACTTTGTTAACATTTGAGCTTCTAAAACTTTTTAATTGCAAAAGATAGAATTAAGAAATGTGCTTTATTAAACAATAAAAAAAATTAAATTATACAATATGAGGTTCAATTATTTGTTTTAAAATAGATTTGACTATATAGAACATGATACCACGTAATGTACTTGGTTCAGTTTTAAGTTTTAAATAAACTTCATGCATTAGTTATCTCTGTTAAGTTTATGAACAAATATAATTGAAAATTTTACTGGACCTAAAAACACTCCACCATCTCTACAGACCGAAACTCAGTCAGTCAGCTACAAGGTAGGACCAGGCACATATATCGGTCTAAGTTGCCACACCTCATTAGCACAACAAGATGAATACCAAATTCATAGCAGTTACTTCAATGGTAGTAATATATGAAAGAAAGATTGTGTATAGGGATATAATACAGGAAGAATTAGTTCGCAGAAAGGTATAAAGTGATTTTAATCTGAGGGTTTAAGGGGAAACAAAGGTTGTATACACTTACGCCATTGTGATCGATCCTGAGCAATGTCATCTAGAGCCTACAATCACTGGTTACGACAGTCGCGCGGACCCAAACCAAGTAGTTTACATCTATCAACATGGCTCAGACCAGACATTAGGGATTTCAAGGACTGATGCCACGTTTTGGTTTGGCTGCTCCTAACTTTCTTCCAACAGTTTCCAGAACTAGTCGGTGTTCACGCATATGTAACACGTGGTCATATAAATGTCTCAATTAGCTTGAAAGCATTAGAAAGGATACGATGGTAGATTTGTACATCATTAGCAGTGGTGAGCCCTGAAGACTTAGTAACCTTTCTATAAAGCTGAGTTAAAGCTATCTAACCCCAAATTTCTTACCTGTAGTCTACAACAGAGGTGGATATACATTATTAAAGGTCCGCGAATCTGTAGATAGTATGTGAGGCCGGATATACAAAGTACTAAAGTGTTCTTAATTAAAATAGTTTATTTCCTGATTTCCAAGATTAATTTTGATTACAATTAGTATTCTACTAAAAGAAATAGTGGTTACGAAACCTTTTGATACGAATAGATGTAGCGTAGCGTGAAAATAGCTATCAAAATCAGTTTGGACAACTCCACGTCTACATAATTAGACGTAATATCATTACATAGGTAACTACAAGCGCTATTTACTTATCCCATAACATTTTATTTCGATATAACTGAGATAATCATGTGGCTATGATTGATACATGATCATCCAAATGATTAGAAATAAAGCAGGTGAGTGATATAAATCTATTGTGAGTCAATTACAGACTGAGAAATACATCAACCAAACCGTTAGAATTTAATACAATAGAATGGGATACAATGTCAAGTTTGCCAGGTTAATCGCTTTGTATCCTTAACAGCCCCCAAATTCCCAAGGACGGTCGAGAGTGGGGAGAGCCAACTCTCTCGAAATGCTCACATGGCCACGTGTATACAGCCACTACCAAGGAAGTCCTACTCACCGCCTTCTCGTGGCGGGGGTGTTATTTACAAAATTGGGAGAACGAAAAGAGAATATCCGGCGCTTTAGTCGGGTCGGTGGACACGGTGAGTCCACCTAGAGGAGTTGGGAAACCCTGATCCTAAACCAATGGTGCACATGGGCTTCAGCATCCTGAAGGGACAAATGACGTAAGAACCAATATGTAGTCACCGGCTTCCATGGGACTGAATCTCCTTACGTTGCCCCCATCGCCTTGTGGGTCAGACCCTTAGGTCGAAGGCTCTGGATGTGGTGCTCTAAGAAAACCACTTGCTTCGGTTTGGGCACCCGTGCAATATATCACAACCCACAAACAAACCAAATGACTTGTGTGGCACATATGTATTCAGTGCCCCTTTGTACCAATATTTGTGTTAAAATAAATAAATATACTTAACATATATTTTAATCTACTATTCTGACGAAGGATATTAAGAACACGATAACCTGACCAAAAATGTAATCTATTTGATGAGAATTAACATTAGTCAATATACAGTATAATTGACGAAGTGTTTTTGAGATTCCACTATTGACCCATGTTACTTCTAAATAACCTCACCTCTATCTGCTTTTACGTGAATTTCTGAGTGATTGTGCATGACTCAAAAAATCCTATGGCTGACTGAATGACGACCGGAGGCTGCAGCTTGTTTCCCTTCGGTAAGCAATAAGTAGTTTTAAATACATATGAGATCAAAATATGTACAAGTTTCAGCCATCAGAACATGTTAAAGTAATAACAAATAAGAGTGAAGTCTAAGTCTTAGTCATTAAACTAAGTACATTGAAATGCGGATGAAAACTTACGGCTCTAAAAATGACATGATAGCCTAGGTTAGATTTGAAATAACATCAAGTTTATTGCTTCTGATTTTAATATGACGTCAAATAAATGACCACAAGAAATTTTTACTAACCCCTTCAGAATCATTTTCATCCGTTACATATTCTAACGACTGATTTACTTGCCACGCACACTTACGACGAACTTCCAATCTCGCTTTCCACTTTCTGTACCAACATTGAATTATCACAGCAGCTTGAAAAGCTAAAATAATGATAAGTTATAGTACATTTTATAATTCATTAACATATATTATACTATCAATCCTACGATTCTAAACTAACACGTGCAAACATGTTGGATACTGCACTACATTAACTACTATGAGATACTAAGTAAATGTCCGGATTTCTGACCCGCGATCTTACTAAGGCCAAGTTTAATGCTTAAAACCCTACTTCGCCAAAATAAATTTGATAAATGTTAGTATCAAATGTTAGTGAACAGTAAGCCAACTATTTCAGTAGCTAAAAGTAAATTACCACATACCACCTTGGCAAAGAGATGCAGTTATCAATTCAAATCCCATAGTGGTAGAGGTACTAAAAATATAAGTAGTGATAGGGAACATTAGGGTTTGATGATGTTATTCAAGGAGTATAATCCAGTGGAATAAATTTGGAAAGAAAATAAAGGACATGAAGAATTCAGAAGATTAGAGTTTGGGAGGACACAAAGAGTGGATGCACCTGCGCCATTGCAAACGATTTTGAGCCATGTCATTCAAGATCTCTAACCATCGGTTGCTATCGTCTCGCTAACCCCAACCAGGTAGTCTACACCTACCAACATGGCTCAGTCCACTTGTCAGTGACTTCATGGATTTGTGCCATGTTTTGGTCTGGCCGCCCCTAGCTTTCTTCCAACCTACTCCTACACCATAAAAAACCGCACGTCGAGGCAGTC